ATTTATTTGAAAAAAATAAAATGGAGGCAATTAATAATTTTAAGAAACAAATTGTAAAAATAATACAGATTATACAGAAATTTGAGGCATTAAATTATATCTTCCAAGCTCCAGAAGGTGATTGTAAGGCTTTAAAACTGCACTGCTGAAAACAGTGTGTTGATGGGAGTATGTAAAACATGGATCTTCTGGTCCTTCTTTAGGTTTTATGGCCCATCGCTACACATCAAGATCATCATCCGGGTCCTCCTGATCAAAGTCGTCGTTTGCATCAGGCTCATACAGAATCCGTCCTGAACCCGGGCCTGAGTGGAGCAGAGCCGTTTTCCTAAAGATTCAAAGGAGAATGTGCTTTTTTAGATAGTTTGGGGAAAATACCATTTAAAATAAAATTATGGAAAACTTTCTCACTTCTCTTTGCTGAAGACAAAGGGAAGTGCAAGTTTCTCCTTGGCTTCTCGCTCTGTGTTGGACAAGCGAAGGTTGAAGGTCAAGTTGGCTGTTGGATCCGTCTACATGAACACAAAAAAAGGAAACTTTTCAGTCCTGCCATGTCTGATCGCTTAATTTAATTATTGAGCAGATAGAATAAACGTGTTAAATGCACCTCCTGTTCCTCAAGATCTGGCTGTTTGGGTCCAGTATGGCTGGCCTTGCTCTGTACTATGACTGTAAGATCTTCTCTGATGTTGAAAATCTCCTCCTGGGGACAAATAAGATCATTGTTTTAACAGTGTACAAACACAAAACAGTCATCCTAAAGGAAACACAACTTACATCTTGCATAACCTTTCCAGATTTTGAGCGCTTTGTTATCTTCGCCACTGCTTCATCTCCCTTCATTCCAGGTGCCACAGTGATGACTGATGTAGCCAAATGGCAAAGACTTCCCACGGTGCCTCGCTGATGCATATCAGTGTGGAGCAGACCAATGACAGCTCTCACAGCTCCCCCTAATGAAAACAGAAGGGAAAAAAACTTAGAGTGCCTCTTTAATCAAAATAAATCATCCAAGTTTGACAATATGACGGTACAATCAGAAAAGCTTGACTCAATATTTGCATTGTTGTAGTGTGCTTAAAACATAAAGATAAGAGTCACTGTGGATGCCTGGTGTCACCCCTTCTTTCTGCCAGTAAAACTACATAAAATCTGGGCATTACACTGATTCAACAGACATTTACAAGATAATGTATCACCTTTTTTAAGTTGCTGAAGAGTCTTACAAACAGTAGCAGGACTGACGTGCCTCAAAATCCACGAAAGCGAGTCAATTACCAAGGTCGGTGCCTTGGGCTGTGACGTTTGCTTCACCAGATGTGTAACTTCTTCCAGATTGAACTGGTGGACTGTGAAGGACGGGTGATCGGTCCAGCCCAAGGGGTCGGTGAAAGCATCGTGAAAGTGTAGCCTGCAGAAACAGGTGATTAATGGTCAGTTTGTTTATAGGTTAAATAGTATAAAACCTCTTTGATCAGCTGATTGTGTAGTCTTGAAAGTTGTTGTATGATTCAAACATTTTGTTCTGATGGATCAATGGTCAAAAACCATCAGGAATTCAATTTAAACTATATAAACGAGGGGGAAAGAAACTAATTGGAGAAGTTGGAACCAGTGACATTTTGCTTAATGTTGTTAAGTTTATGAAGCAGAATAAGACATCTTTTAAATCACCTCTTACTTAAAAGCCCTTTCTTGAATCATCATATATAATTTTAATTATTACATGCATTATCCATTTTATTATTGAATTGTTAAGGTTGTAATGTTTTAATTTTTTCCTACTTTACTTTACTATAATTATTTGATAGGGACATATACAATACATAGATAATGGCCCACCAACAGTCTAATTCAATGCATACCAGCAGTACTAGCCAATATCACAATAAGTGGGTATCTATTCTCTGTTGATTCTTTCATTACTCGTCCTCTTTACCTCTGACTGGATGATCCTTTCAGTCCACCTGTCAGCTCCTCTTCACTGACCTCAAAGCCGATGACATGGACAGTTTCCTCCCTACAAATCACAACACGAGTCAGATTGTTCTGGGAAATATTTCGCTTACACACATTGACATGTGATAGAGAACCAAACTGTCACCATCATCTCTTCATATACCTGTTTAATGCAGCACTGATGAAGCTCTTCAGGAGGTGTCGACCAGAGTAAGCAGCGTAATCTAACCATGCAAGTAGAAATGACATCACTTCACTTCATGCTACTACTTCCATTCGCATGTATGACAGTTATACGACTGTTGAGCTTAAATTCCGCACTGACAAACAGTTCTCACCTTGTATTATGAGAAGCCCTCCAGCATCGGTGCCTTGCAATAACTCAGGCAGCATTGTATCATGTAATTAAACTGTATTAACTCCAGATGGCTTCAGCTAGTTAGCATGCTGCTAACTCGCCGCCTGTTAGAACGTGAATGCCGAAACTAAAACAGCAGAACTCTGTAAGCTAACGTCAGGAGAAGCTACATCTCTTAAATTAAAGGATGTCGATCGCTACAAGTTGCGGAAAGTGACATTTAAACGCAAATGAAGCTTCAGATCCGGCATGTTTCGCTAAGTAGCGTGTTTGGAGTGTGCGCACTGGAAAACGTCACTTCCGAGAATCCCTCGTGTGTGGGGAAATGTAGTTCCGCCGTGTTTTCCAGCCGCTCGGAAGTCCCTGCGAGTGACAGCGCGGTGGGACTACGCTACCCAGGATGCACCCGGGGGAAACACTACGCTGGCAGCATCAAGAGGCTTCTGCCGCGCACGGAGGAGACCGTGCGAAAGTCTCCAGTCGTTTTGTATGCGAACCGCGAAGAAACGACAAAGTTAATCCGAGAAGTTCCCCCGTATGGAGCCGCTGTGACCGGGGACCCACGCGCTACCGGAGGAGTTACACGGTTCTGACACGCTTCAGCACCGGCGGCGGTTTAAATGCAGTGACGGAGAAAGTGCAGCTTTGTGCGCTGTAGGTTAAAGGACGGAGAGGAATTAGTATTTTGTCGGTGCTAATCGCGATCCAGAGGCGGCAGGCTTCTGCTACGTTAGCCGCTCTATCGGCTCCTCCAGCGCAGCCGAGCGAGGGGGCTATTCCAACTTCGAACCCCCGCGGCGGAGAGCTTGTTTTTTTGTGGGGATAGCACCTCCAGTGTGGCGCGGTCCTTGGCTTCGCTGCTGCCAAAAGTTGCCCGGCGGTAAGGTGCAGCCACGCCGGGGGGGAAAGCACAGCGCGACGGCCGCCACTCTCCGGCTAGCTCGCCTGCTGCTTCTGCTGGTTGGATCGAGGCCTTGTCTGTGAGGCGACAATGCTTGACATAATGTCCGAGCACCAAGGTACGTTTCAGCGGCATCGACACCAAGTCAGCAAACGAACTTGTGATGCCAATCTGATCACTGTTGATGTTTGTCTTCCACGTTTTACGTACATTATTATCGATTACCTAATGCAAGTTGTGGCTAATGCTACGTCGGTTGCGTATGCAGTATTAATAACATGCATTGCTACTGACCGATCGTTTGTTGTTGAAACGCTGCGAAAGTTGTGTCAAAGTGAATATCTATTATCTGTCGCTTTATAAATATTAATGATACTCAGCTAACCTCATGTTAATCTTCAGTGCTTGTGAAGTTAGCTTGCTAGTTAGTTGGGCGCCGATCCACCTAGCTTAACGGTTATAGCTATGTTTCCCAACCCAAACAATGCGTAGCTTGTCCCTTACAAGACAAATTACCTGTCAGCCACGAATAAAATGCTATTTTTAACACCCAGCTGAAACTTCAACGCTGACAAGACACCCGATTAAACGCTACTCCTTGCTAGCACTAAGCTACGGTAGCCACCGAGCCTCCCTCTTCCATTTCAAGAAAGCCAGCGTGATTGGCTTGGTTAGCTCGGGTTAACTCTCCTACGGGCTGGAATTAGCCGATAGCAATGCCCGGTTGTCCTTGTTAGAGTTTAAGTGTGTCTCACATGAAGAAAAATCACCAGTGATAACAACATGTGCCCTATTAGCTGCAAACGAGGGTATCGTGCTGTTAGCTTCCACTGTAAACGTCGTTAGCAGGTTTCACCCGAGTTGACACAGTTTAAAGCTTTGCAGCAAACTTAACGATCTTTGCTAAACGTCAACAAAATCATCAGTTTGATATAAATGTGTTAAACCGATGATCGGTTGTTCAGGGTGGATGTAATGATCCAGATTTAGGGTGAAGTTCACACAGCGATCAAGTGACACCGGTTGCGGTTCTTGGAAACCAGCTAGCGTTAACATCAAATGACAGACTTGCTTCTTTTACCCTCAAACTGTCATCTGTTAATTCAGTCTGCTCAGTTTCTTGTTCACAAAGCAAACGCGGGTCTTGTTGAAGCTCGACATCCCCGTCACTAATACACATATTAAGTTATTGAGCCGTGTTAGCAAGCCAATGCTAGCACGAGTCCACTCGTGTGTAATCGTCCCCTCAGGTGCTTTTGTGTGTGTCGGCTTCTCTCTGGTTCGCTTGTGACCCTAAAAACTGTGTTTTTCTTCTGTCCACCAGATTCACTGTTGACGTGCAAAACGGAAGCTTTGGTGAGTACTTTGTGATCCTTCTTAAGAACAACTTATTCTGTAGATTTCTGTTGGAGCTGGTTTGGATTTGTGTCATTATCTTTAACAAAGATCTTCTCTCTGCAGCCCCCAGAGAGGAAAAAGAGGACTGTTGAGGACTTCAACAAGTTCTGCAGCTTCGTCCTGGCATATGCTGGTTACATCCCGAGTCCAAAAGAGGTAAACTGAGCTTGTTGAAACTAGGCTCTCCAAAAGTCTCCTTACAAAGCCACATTTAAATTCACTAGATCCAGATTTGTATTTATTTGGATATGCACTAAATTTTACACATTCATATTTATCAAATGTCCGCTTAACAAATCTGATGTGTTGTGCCATGATTTATTCTCTGATTTGAAATCTATGTAAATGTTGACAACACCATATCTTACAATGTTTTTAACAAAATGAAAAACAATTCCTGGATCTGCACCAAAATTTAATTATTTCCTCCCTGAACCATGCCACATCTTTCCACGAAGATTCATGGTCATTTGTGCAGGAGTTTTTGCTTCATCCTGCTAAAATATCATACAAACACTGGTCATACGATCAACTGTCATTGCAGGTTGTGATTTGAGTAAATAATATTTTCCTTGTTGTCCTACAGGAGAGCTCATGGTCCCCGACATCATCCAGCTCTGCTCACAGTTCAGGGCTGTCAGCAGATGGAGGCGTAGGAGGCAGCAGCAGCTCCATGGGCAACACCTGGGGAGACGGAAGCTCCGACATCCACACCATCCACACATTTGTTCGCAAAGCTCGAGCAAACAAGGGCAAAAACATTCGCCGCATGCACTCTGATAGCACTCTACTGGACAAGATGCGCCTAAAAGACTCCCTGTATGACAGCCAGGCCAGCTCTAAGGCAGAGCGCAAGAAGGACAAAAAACTGAAAAAGTTGTCGCTTGGTTCCTCCATGACGGCGGCAGACAGTGGCAGCAGCGAAGGCGAGAAAAGGGCACGCATTAAACGCAGCAAAAACTCAAAACAGCCAAAAGCGAAGAAGCTCAAGAGTTCAGCTGCTCAAAGCGAAACTGACTCGGAGGCACGCCACGGACATTCAGAGGTACGACCTACCAGAGAGGAGCTGGCGGCGCACGGCGGCTCCACGCCGACCATGCAGGGCATGGGGAAGATGCAGCCAGATGAGTCCATGAGGGAAGCAGAGATGAGCTCCAGTGAGGGCGAGACTTGGATTGCAGATGAAGACATTATGGTGGAGTCAGGTATGTGATGAAATGTATCTTTACAAAAATATTTTATATGAAATATGTGTAATTTCCAGGAACCTTTTTTTCTCATTAGGTAACATGCACAGCAATAATGACCTGTTAAATGTTTTCTTTACCAACACAGGTGACGATTCGTGGGACTTGATCACCTGTTACTGTGGGAAGCCGTTTGCGGGGCGGCCGATGATCGAGTGCAACCAGTGCGGCATATGGGTGCACTTGTCGTGTGCGAAGATCAAGAAGTCCAACGTTCCCGACATCTTTTACTGCCACAAGTGCAGGGACATGCGGCGGTCGGGACACAAAAAAGACACTTAGAGATGAAGAGGACGGGAGGGACGAGGAGCAACCCGCCCTGTCTTTGCTGTCCTCTTGACACTTATTTTCTTTGATGCCTGCAGCCAAAACAGCCTAAATTATCACCTGGATGGCAACTGTATTGTCAGTTTGTAGAATTTCTTTTGACAATCACAACCATTCTTATTTATCCCTCACAGTTTTTTTTTTTTTTTTTCACATCCAT